GTGGTGCAGGCTAATGGCATGCCAGATATTAACTACCATAATCATTGAGGCTGTCATTCCATTACATCAGGCACAAAAAGCATACTAATTTTTGTTAATCATGTTCCTATCCTAGCTTCCACATTTTGTTAGTGTTGGGGTTTTTTATAGCAAAATGTATAATTGAGTTGATGATTTTTATCTCTTAGAGAAAAATATAATTAACATGGTGAACTAGTGCTGCTGTGTAACAAAAAAAAATCTGAAATGACAAGATGACAAATAGTAAGAACAATTTCAGAAGGGAAATAATATAAATGCAGCTGGCTTGTCTATGGCCATTTCCTTTTGTTGCTTCCACACCATAAGGAGTTTACTGCACTTGTGAAGGACACAGACAGGAATCCTGAAACATTTTTGCTTTTCCCGTATCTTTTCTTTTGAAGAAGTATTGGCAGCAAAAGGAAAATTCATTTTTAGATTTCAAATATCCTTCTTTAGAGTCTGTACTGCCTTGGGAGGCTTGATCTATTTGTATGCTTATACTCTGCATACTTATGAAAATCACACCCAAATTTTAAGAACTTTAAACTCCATAGTCTACTTAGACTTGTTTTCTTGACCAGTCCTTTCTTTACCAGCTCTCCACAAGTATACAAACATTAAACTGATTAAACTTTCTTGGATTTTTTTGTGCTTTAATTCTATAGATCAGCTATGAAGCTAGCAATAGATCCTCATTTAATTGAAGCAGTTAAATCCAAATCAGACATGAAATTCTGTTTATAGCATTATTCAAGAAAACTTTACCTTTACAGATGACTGTGCAAGAGCTGATGGAATGTGTGCTAGATGCCTGTTGAGTGTACATGCGTAATACAGTATTTTGTTCTTTGCAAAGGAAAAATGTAAGCAAAAGCATTTGATAATAATTATAGCAATTTATGCATAAAGTCTTTTTATTTCATTAAAGTTTTCTGAAATCTACAGTCTAGATCTACTTTTGCTCATGAAGAAGAAAGATATTCAGCAAATATAAAAGGCTGTATTCAGCATGGGATCAAAAGTCTTTTTACTCTAAGCAAAAAACGTCAATCAAAAGTGGCAGGAGTACCGGGTATTTTGGGGCACTCAGAGAATTCAAGCTTATAATGAGAAATTAAGTTTATAAGAATACTCCTTTTTCTATCTTATTTTAAGTGGAATGAGAAAACTGATCACTCATTATATGTGGAAAATAAAGAGTCTGCACAAAGACAGCCTCTTTCTTTACTTTTTGCTTTACTTGACTTTAAGCATAAGCTGTTATTTTTTCATCCCATTTCATTGCATCTGCACTAAGAATAAAGACATTATATTGCTTTCTTTCTCTATTCTGACGTCATGTACCTCCCTGGTTAACTAATTGGTTATTTGTTTTACTCACTAGCCATAAATCAAAACTCTGTTTCACATAAAAGTTCCTCTTTCGTAGTGGAAAATCACAGGTAAATGGGTTTTGGTCCAAATTCAGGGTAAATAAAAGAACTCCTGTTGGTTTCGGTCAGCTATATATCAGGTGTTTGTTTGGAGAGGATCCAAAAGGCTTAGTGGGCAGCACAAATAATGTTCACAAATAAAGGTCTTTTGGCCTTTCCATTCAAAAAGTTGCTGGAAAGTTCCATGATATTTAACTGTAGTATGATCTTAATTGTCACCTTGTAACTGTTGCTACCTGGTTTTTGTGCAAGGAAGACTGGTGTTTCTGTCTTTTCTTGCTCTTGTCAGAGTGCTTTATATAATAACCTCCTTTCAGACCATTCCTTTAGTGTAGAGCAGTCTGCAATACTGCGTCACACAAAATGTGGAGGTGATGATCTGAGTTCCACTGAATCTTCTACTGTTGATTTAGATGCAGGAGAGTCAGGAACAGACTCTTAAAACTCCAACTGGCAATACATCAGGGTTTTTGATGTTGTTCCCTAATAAAAAGGGAGTGTATTACTGCTTCTCTAACCCACAGTGATATGTTGTAGTGTTATAACTGTGCAAAATGCATTTTCCCCTCACTACAAAGCTGCTTCAGAAAGCCCATCAGATGTGTGATGGTAAAGGGCGTATGGAAGATTTGACCTTGCTGCCAACTTTCTTTTTGCCTCCCAGAGAGCAAGGATTGCTCTGAAGTGTTTCTTCCCAGTTTGATGATTTCTCCCTATCCCTAAAAGCTTGCAATAGCTCGTTTGCACTTCCCTCATTCTTCATTTTGTTTTGGGCATTGCACCACAAGTAGGCAGGCAAAGAGAAAATGTAAAATGTATGTGATCAGGTTGTAAGAATAAACCTCTTGTTCTTATGCAGACGTACCAGAGGCCTGTGTGCATTTTGAGACAATATAAACTACTTTTGGAAGTATTCACAGTTAAAATCTTACAGAAACCTTAGACTCTGTGAAAGACAGAGCTGGCTCTGCTGGTGGTGATATGCAGCAGAGCTCCATTAATTTTGAAGGAATTCTATTAATTCACAATGATGGTATGTCTGCCCTGCGTTTCTATAGCCGGAAGACAGACCCAAGAGAGCTGCTTGTCCTGCCTGTTATACATGTACATGTTTAACCAGTGAAGAATTTTTTTTGTTTTAGTTCAAATAGCTACAACTTAAATACTGTATTATGCACATGGTCACATATGTAGACTATGCTAAGACAACATCTAAGAAGATTTTGAAACTGAACAAGTCAAAATTCAGGTTGCCTGATAAATATGAATTTGATTCCTTGGGCCATATGCGTTATGATTTAGATTTTAATTACATTATTGAATTATTTTTTTACAGTAGCTTTTTGCCCAGTTGATTCTGTGGGGTAAAGCTGCTCTAGTACTGAAACCAGACCTATGTTGAGATAAAAGACCATTGCTGGTAAACTCCTTATCTGCAACTGTCACAGAAGTTGGAAAGTGGACTATAAATGAGACAGGATATTTTAGGAAAAAGAAAGGATCATTAGGATCATGTCATGATGAAAGCAGCTGCCCACTCTCATAAAGAATGAATTTGACTTGTACCCATGCCACAAATATCCCGAGAGATCCATTTTTTTCAAGATGGTCACCACCTCTGAAAATCCAATTTCTGGATGCCCGAATTGGAGTTGTGAGGTCTGGTCTGCCAAAATACAGTCAATCCCAGCTCTGATTAGCATCAATGAAAGCTATATTTAAAACACATACAGTGCTATGAAACCCACATTTTTCTCCTGCTGTCCTGACAGAAAGTCAGGTGATGACCCAATAAAAAAAATTTCAAACCCAATACTTCAATTTGGCAACATTTCAAACACAGTTGAAATGGTGATCTTATCCTGAAGATCTACAGTATACTTTAATATAAGGCAGTTCTGTCATTCCTGGCTACAAAATAATATTTAAAGGGTATGACCACTTGCTTGAACTAAGGGAAATTCAGACAAACAGAAATCAGTTCCCATCAGAATCAACACCTTTCTAATGGAAGGCATGATTTTGCAGTAATTGTCTTTTGTTTCCAGGAGGGCTCCATCTGCAAGTGTAAAGTCAGCCTGTAGAAGTTTTCAGCTGACATCTTTTCAAACTGTATCTGCCTTTCAAAATAATGATACTTAGAGGTGCCACTGAATGTCTTTCTGATACTGAGTTTCCACTGTTGTTTACAAGTCTGCAAAAATAAAAACATATGTAGGCTTGCTATAGGAGTTGACATTGTTGTGCGTAGTTAAGGGCTAAACCAGAGGGTATGTAGGCGTAAATCAAGAGAGAAAATTTATAAGAATATTGCAACATTATAAAATTTTAATTGCCATGATGATATTGGATTGCGAATTGATGCAAACAAGTATTTTTGGACTTATTGTCACCTGAAGTTATAATTTATGAAAGTATGAATCACGGGTCTTTTCCAAGACAAACCCCAAGAATGTACAGCTTTGTGTATGGTTTTCCATGTTTTCACATGTATTTGTGATTTGACAGTTACGATGTTTTAATTTTTCCAACCAAAAGATCAAATATGTTTTGTGATTATAATCTACTGTAATCTAGAAAAATACTAGGTTTTCCTGTCTATATTATGGTTTTGTCACTTCTTACCAACACAAGCCTTCACATTCTGCCCTCTGTGTCTGGTCAAAAATATACTTGAGGTTTCATGTGTTATATGTACTTTAGAAACATCACTCACCATAAATAAGTCAGTAACTGCTACATCTTCATAACCTTAATTAGTGTAGCAACACTGTTTTATCTATGTCTAAATGTATGTATATATCAAAATTTTAAATGTAAGAATCATAACCATTTGAGTAAAATGGCCATAATTGCTACAGTTTAAAAAAACCTTAATGACACTTAATTAAACCTGAATCTAATGGCTTGACTAGAATGTATATAGAGCAACATCCTCATGTTAAACCTTTGCTCTGTAAGTATCTTCTCCTCTTTCAGTAGAATTATTAGATTAAGCAAGGATTTGAAGGTTTGAACTCACATTTTTCTAAATTCTTTTTGTGTTTCCATTAATTGCATTGTCTAATCTTGAAAAAACTAGCTTAATATTTCTAGTCTTTATGCCATAACAGGTTACCTCATTTCAAAAACATAAGTCATTGTTGATGACAGTCTTCTCTCAGTATGTAAAAATACTCAAGGAGTGTTTTTGTAATAGAAACTTCTATGCAAAGATAACTTTTGGAAATACTACTTGATCTTAAGGCTTATTTTTAAAATCTTTGAATAAACTGATATGGCTGATCATAGAGGGGACCAAAAAAGTGTTCATGAAGGAAAGCGATTGATAGAGTGGAGACTGTGGAAGAATAAAAACATGGTAATCTTTTACATGTTTTCTCTGCAGTTGATTTGTAGCACATTATATTCACTGAATCCAAATAAATTATTACTTAATATAGTAAAAGGATCTGGAAAACTCAGAGGCTGATGTATTTTGTTGTTAAAATCTCAGGCAATCATTTTTCAAAACTAACATTTAATGTTTTCATTATGTCTCAGGTTCCCAGTCTGAACCTCCATCATGCAGTGCCAGTTCCATCACTTGCCCATCTGCCTGCACCTGCAGCAACAATGTAGTGGATTGTCGAGGAAGGGGCTTAACTGAAATTCCAGCTAACCTACCAGAGGACATTTGGGAAATGTAAGTGCCAATGTGATGCACCATTCTTTTCCATGTCTCTCTGGTTTTGGTCCATGTCATAGCCTCCTGTGTGGAAGAAAGGCACATGTTTTGAAAACTGCTCAGAGCAGTTATCAGGTATATTGTAGTTGTCCTCTCTGTTTTTGTTCTTTTGATCTAAGGGCTCAAACCATTCTTTAAAGTAAATTAAGATATAGTTTGAAGTTGCCCTACCCCAAAGCAAGATGAAGTTATTGGTGTATTACGTTCAGAATGTGTTTACATCTCACAAGTCTGGGATTACAGTTCTATAGTCAAGAAAATGAAATACACAGTCCCTTTTTTTGAAATTGAATTGCTTTATTTTTAGTTGGTGAATTCCCCAAGAGATGGAAGCATTTCTTGTTAGCTTGGCAGGATGCATTTGTAATGAAGCGAAGTATGACATCAGAACACATTGTCCCTGCTGATTTTTACCTTCTATTTCTTGTCTCCCACATTTTGTTGTTTGCAATTCTTTAACACTTTTGTGACTTTTTTGTGTTGTGAAATCAGATGCTGGTTTTGCAGGCTTGTCTTTACCACGTTTAGGAATTGTAATAATCTATTTTTGTGTCCATGACTTCATACTACTGTGGTTCTGAAGTACTCTTACATTAAACCAAGTTGCTTTTGGTCAGTCCATAGGGAATGCAGATCAAATCTTTTCGTATTTTGGTGCTTGTCATACAGAGCTTACTGACATCCAACCAGCTTTCATAGTCTACAGAGTATGGATTCATATATTTGTATAGTCACTGGACTCATTCAGCTTCTTGTTGCTGTAGAAATACTGCTACACAGCAAAATTCACTAGGATAAAGCATAAGCTGAATTGCTCATATGTAGCCTGGCCCACTATGATATGCCAGGAATGTGACAGTTATGGCCCGTGAAGGTGATGTGCTATGTTGTTGGCTGGAGATCTGCTCTACACCACCACTCCTCTAAGCCGCTTTATCGGTTGCTTTTATAATTTAAGATTCACCTCAAATTTGTTCAGAATTCTGTCTCAGCACAACAGTTTAGAGGTAGCTTATGCTTGACTGTGCATCTCCACAGAATAGATATATTAGAAATGAAGAGATTAGCTTGGTAAATGCAAAGAATAAACATATTCTTAAAATTAACATTGTTGAACATGTGCCTAGAGCATGTAAAAATGTTTACAGGAAATACATACGCTTATGCAAGCTGTTCTGAATGCCCATTACCTGTTTGCTCGCCTCCTGACGAAGTTCAGAATGTATTGGTTGTGTTCATTTCCAGTATATAGTGGCACACAAAATATGCATGTAATACCTGTTTTTCTGTGCCTGAAAGTTGGTTAAAATTATCCTGAAAATATAAATTGTGTTTGGCATACTAAGAATATCCAATGTTTAGTCCTGTTTCCAATTCTGTCAGATGGAGTACAGATTTTCAGGAGTGGCTGGAATCGTTCAATAATAAGAGACAGAGGATGAAATTGGTCCAGACTTGCTCACAAATTACGGTTGGGCTAGGAGAATTGTAAGATTTTATTTTGTTGTGTTGAAAATACTAGCAGAAATCAGATGATCTTTGTGGCTCCATGCCAGAGTCACATGGAGGGCAATATCTTTAGGAAGACTGAGGTTGGTGTGCTCCAGCACTCTCCTGAGAGCAGTGCGCCTCAGTGTGAGAAATCAAGTGAAAATGTTCACCTTTAATGTGGTTATAATAGCCTTGAGTATCCAAGTCATGGCTCCGTTTCGGTTGCTCCAGCCCACAAACCTAGCCCCTGTAACTTGTAGTAAAAGCAACTTAGAAGATCTCCTTAGCAGAGCAGAAAGTGAAGGAAGACTTGGAGAGCCTTTAAGTTAGATGATGAGGTAGCGAATAAAGATGCGTATAATGTTTTAAGAAACTTTCATAACCTGGAGGTTATAAACCTTCTAGATCTATAGAACACCAGATAAAGCTCTTAGCACACAATTTAATGATTTAGATCTGCGAGACTTCTTGCATTTTAGGCAGTACTTATTTGAGTCTTTGCCTGTAGATAAACCTCTTATATCGCCCTAATCCTGCACATATCCTTTGCAATTCACAGGCACTTCACGTGAGAGTAGTTCTGCAGAACTTCAGAGTGTAACCCTCATAAAAACATTTATTGCTTACTTTCTGTGGGAATCAGTCCTGGGAAGATTTCATTTTTATGGAATATATATATTAAGAAATTTAAGAGTTTCTATCTATTTACAATGCGGGTGGTGAAACAATGGAACAGGTTGCCCAGAGAGGTGGTAGATGCCCCATCCCTGGAAACATTCAAGGTCAGGTTGGACGGGGCTCTGAGCAACCTGATCCAGTTAAAGATGTCCCTGCTTATTGCAGGGGGGTTCGACTAGATGACTTTTAAAGGTCCCTTCCATCCCAAACTATTCGATGATTCTATGATGCTATCAGAATAAGTCTTAGTGAGTGGCATCACTTACATATGGGTTTTCCTACTGGTAAAATGGTGTTTCCATTTTGTAAAAGTACGAGTAAAAAAGGGCAATTAACCTTATATCCAAGGGCAAAGTATTACATATTCTTGCATAGAGTAAAGGATATAGTCACATAGAAAAATGTTTCCGGAAAGATGGAAGAAGTTGCCGTAGTGTTTTCCTGGAAGAATCCTGACAAATTCTTTTGAGCAAGATAGCCATTCTGGTTTATGCAGAAGTCTGTCATACTGCTCAGAAATTCAGTTTGACTGAGGCTGCTCTGGGCTTATTCAATATAAAATCCATCCGGAGGTCTGGTTCCAGCTACACACAGAATAATGACTGTCTTTTGATTTGATAGGATAGGCAGAATAAGACTCTTCTGCTGTAATGTTATAGCAATGGGGCCAAGTAAATTCTCTCTGCCTGCTGGAACCCACATCTCTTGCTCTCACACAGGAATACTGTTGGGTTTTTTTCCCTTGGGATTTGTCCCCTATGGTTGACATTTAGTCAGACCCTTTGTATAAAAGGTGGCTATGTAGTGGTGCTGCCTGAAGACTTTTTTCTGGACTCTGTAATGCTGTGATCTGACCCTCATCATCTTTGAGAGATCTAACTCTTACTAGAGATGAGATTCGTCCTATGGAATATGGGGTACAGACAAACTACATGTCTGGGTTGCTATTACATAGAATCCTAAGAGATATTACTTGAGATGGTGTTTTTCATTCAGCCGTTTCTATCTAGCATTGTAAATACTCATTCCACTAAAATACATTTCCCGCTATAGACTGTAGTCCATTCATAATATTTATATGGTAGTATTAAAATGCTGTGCCTTCCTCGGTTCCACTTGGGGCATTTCCAAGTTCCTTTGCTTGGTTATTAGTTGCATTCAGTTACAGCTTTCTAGTTCTTGTATTTCCTCTTAACTCAGTATGTCTTTGTAAGCCACATTGTATCTGATAAGAACCCTTGACTGACAAACTGTTCTACGAAAATGAAACACACAGCTGTTCCTCTAACATGGTTATTAAAGGTGACCTACATTTCACTCTGTGTTTCGGTATTAATTAAAGATCTTTTACTCAGCCTTCCTGCCTTTCTTCATTAACATGGGTAGGCAGAACCTTTTCTGACAAAGCTGCCAACAAGTCCTAAATTTGTTTTTGTTGATAAAAACCTATCACAAAACAGGCAACTCACTTGTCACGGGACATGAAAGAAGCATCATATGACACTAATTTTCCCTTGCTGCTGACCTCTGCTACATGGGACTTAGAAGTCTGTTGTGTTACTCTATTACACCTCTCCCTGAGGTGCATTATCCTGAAGGCCCTCATTGCAAGAATGTTTATTATTAAATAAAGGAATTTAGGAAAGCTAGGAATCTGTATCCCAGCCTTGCTTTTTCATAATTTCATAAAATAGGTAGCTAGAAGGTACAGAATGCAATTCATTTTTCTATAAAGCTTCTCGTTCAGTGGGGAGCTGACATCAGCAGCCAAACTGACTGAGGAAAAATGAGTTACAAGAAATTGAAGCTGAGGAATACAGACTGTGTGTTGAATGTTATAAAAGAGTCTCTGCTTACAAAGTGGTTCTCTTGTGTTTTTCAGAGGAACAGTGTATGTTATAGAGAAACACATGAGAATAAGCACAGAAAAGTTTTGCATGAATACTCGGATGAAAACAAAAGTCGTTAAGCACCTGGAGGCATTTACTGAAAAAGAAATACCAAAACAAATATGGCTTGATGGTTTGCTGGTAAATGAACAATATAGTCATTTCACTACATTGGAACAGCATCTGCAACAAAGGGAGAAGTTTGCATTTGTTTAGAAAGGGTGAGAGAAAATGCATGCAGGATAAATAGGGAACGTCATGTGAATGCAGAATGGACCTGACCTTGGAGGGATATAGGAAGGGAGGGATGACCTGCAAGCTAGCAGGAGACAAAGTCTCCAAAGAATCTCTTTCTGATCAGACTTGATTGCAACCTTGCAACCAATGCCTGTCAGACTGAATGACAGCTCAGCCCATAAAGACAGCAGAGCCAGGATATAGTAGAGACCTGTTAAATCCAAAGCTACCAGCTGTGCTTGCGAGAGTCGCTACCCTTCAGCTTATGGGAGCTTGGAAGGGTGTTGCAAGAAACCCGCTTTGCCACAACAGCGAATTTCACTCAGCATGTGGTTTGGGCGGTTGGTGGCTCAGGATATTGGGCTGGATGGATCTGAGCTCTGGCACTGCCTGCCTGTTCGCAGTCACTAGTGTTTGGCTGGTTTTATGCCAGGGAAAGGACAGCTTTCCTGCACTTGCAGATGTGGGGCACTGGGGGTAAATGGCACTGCTAGCCCTGTCTGTGGTGCTTAAACAGTGTTTGCTTCAACATGCTGCCTGCCAGATTTGTTTGATGCCTCCCTGTACTGGGGAGTGATCAGTAACTCCTTATTAATCTTTTCCCCACCTCACTACACTTTTCCTCTGTCCCTTCTTTAGAATGAAGTTTTCATGCTGTTTGTC